TACTTATTCAATTATTGTCCTGATCAAATATTTCAAAAATACATTCTCGACAATGAGGTAAGTAATTTCATTAAATTTTGTTACTTTAAGGCATGTGGGGATCAGGTCTGGCTGAGGATGGTGGAAGAGTTGGTGGTCGGCGGTTGAAGCTGGTTGCAAGTCACGACCGGGAGAAGAAAAAGTTGTAGAGAAGAGAGAAGGTCACGATTGCTACTCTGCCGCTAATAGAAGCTAGATTGATGGAAATGATGGTATTAAAGCTGGTTGTGGAGGTAAAGGATGGTGTTGATGTTGCTGTTGTCGGTGCTGGAGAAGGAAGAAAATGAAAATGGTGGTGCTGATGAGCTACTGCCGCTGTGGAGGAAAGGAAAGAAAAAATCAGAGGAGAGGGAGAAGTGTGGTGGAGAGGATGGTTGTCAAGCCAGCAGTGGCAGTGGTGGTGGCTGAAGGTCATGGTGGAGAAAGAGAAAGAAGAAAATTTATAGAAACCGGCAGAAAAACTGGTTTTATTGCTGACTTTGGACTTGATTTTCTCTTCCCTCAGGCTATGAAATTTACCTCTATTTATAGGCAATAGAAGAGGGCAATCTTTTCTATACTAGAAAAAAATTTCAACCCTTGATTAAGTTGGGAAGAATCCCAACCATTGGCTCATGAGTTGTAAAATCTCCAGACAAAAGCTGACTGAGTTGGCCTCTTTAAGCTATCACTAGAGATGATGTGTTATTATTTAGCCTAAATTGATCACATAGAGTTATAGATAAAGTGCAAAGGATCATTTTCGTATAAGATTTGTCAAATTTGATGGATATTAGGTACATTATATGTTGTTACAAAGTAGATAGTTAGATCAGCTTTTAAAGAGAAAAACAATGAAGATAATGAACAGTGCCGATTCCTATTTTTATCAAAGTTCATTTCAATCCTTTCTTTTTTAATTGCTTTGAATTGAATCCTAATTGACCCTAAATTTTTTTATTTAATGCAATTAAGCCCCTAATTTCAATCAATTAACTTCGTAAAGATTAAATTTGGTCTCTTAAAATTTTAATATTCTCAATTAAGCCAAAATTAGGCTCTCAAACTTAATTTTTCACCAATTAAGCCCAAAATAAAATAATTTAACCCATTTAAAGTATAATTAAGTCCTTGCACTAAATTAAATCTTTTAATTGGACCCAAATTAATTCTTAAACATAATTAAAATTTAATTTGACCCATGATTAAATCAATTTGGCTTATTAAAAATTTAATGATGTCATTGGACTCAATTTTTATGCATTTAATGATGTCATTGGTCTCAATTTTTATGCAAATTCGTTTAATAATCATTCAATTTGACCTTGAATTTGTATTTTTCTCTATTTTTGGGCATAATAGGATACAATTAGGCCTTGAATTTCCTCAAATAAATTACAGCTTAATTTTTTTTTAATTTTTATAGCCCTCTTTTATTTATTTTCTCCACATTATCATTCTTTATTTTATTTTTTAAAAAAAATTATTTTTAAGGAATAACCCAGAATTGGGTTATAAAATTTATTACCAATTTTTAATATATCTAATTTTAAATTTTATTGAACCAATATATTAAATTTAAAATAAAAAATATTAACATCCATATTTTTTTATATTTAAAAAAAAATCATCCCGAGAATCAAACTTGTCTATATGTACAGCTTTTGAGGATTAGGAAAGTATCACACCACAAATAATGGTGTGATACTTTGCACATTTATATTTTGCTTGGTATATATATCCTTAGGTAATTGTCATATATGGGTTTATTATTTTCTTACTTCCTGTAATATAATTTAAAAGGTAAGGGTGTTTATGTCATATCATTGTTTGTTTTTTTATTTTTATTTTTGTAATCATAGATGTCCAAGTCAGTTTACACATCTCAAGTAATCTCTCAAGACTTTGAAATTAACGACTAGATAAACTTCTACTGGCCCTTAGGTTTGTGACACTCGAATTGGTGATCTTTAAGAAGTAAACTTAAAACCTAACTAGTTAAGTTATACCCTTAATGATTATTTTTTATGATGAATTAGTAGGCCTGTAGTAAATTTTGTTAAAGCAACATTAGTTTTTTTAGAGTAACTAATGTTTCCTTGATTTGGGGTTAAAGTGACTAGTTGTAATGCAATAACTTATAACCTATAAGAGCTTACAAGTTTGATCGTGATCAAAATCCTAGAGTTGTGATGCTAAGCAAAATTGAAGTTTAAGTTGTACAAATTTTATCTGCACATATTAAATAACATGCTAGTTTTCAATTATGCTGGTTTGGAAAATATTAGGAAAAGCCTCTACTTTCTTCGTTGCCATAATATAGTATAGCTATCATTGTCATCGTGAATTCACTTGTTTTTGTCTGGTCATGAATTTACAGAGTAGACAACCAGCACTCCCAAACAAGTTTAATATTTACATCATGTTTTCTAATCAGTTTATGAAGCAACCATCTATGATATACTTCAATAATCTTCATAATAACAAAACATCACCAAATTTAAGGTGTTTTCTGGTTGTTTATAGTGAAAATATAACAAAACATTCATCTTGTCCTAGATATGCAGTCACAAAACACCCTGAGCCCCGGATTGCCACACTTAAATCATGAAAAATGTACTTTGCTTTTTTGCTTGAGATGTGTCAAAAATAATAAACACATATTTTAGCAAGTAAAACAAGATAGTTTATCCTTTTAAAGTTATAAACATCTGATAGAGCAACGTCCCGCCTTGTGATACTTGCAGAGAAACAATCCAACACATTAATTATCGAGCCACGTTGTAGTTCTTTGCGCTGCTAAGTCAATTGACATCCATATAACTGCAGCATACTCTTTATCTGTGGGAACTGGCCAACTGAAAGCACCAAATTGGATGAGATGATAATGAAGCACAAATGGAATACAAAAGGCTCACAAAACCCAAAACAGCAAGGAATAAACATCTGAGAGAAACTTGTAGAAAGCTCATACAAATATGCAATCATCTAGTGAGTTAATGTTTATCTAATTATATTTTTTAAAATCAATAAGTAGAAAATCAATTCTTTCATAATATATATAAAAGAAGGACAAGCCTACCCAAAAACATCATGACACCTGAGATAAACCAATTAATGAACTCTTTATTTTAGTGCCACCTTTTTATTTCTATACGAAAACCAACATGCAAACAAATGAAAAGGGACTTGCCAGTTATAGCTAGCAGGTTTTAACTCATCAGCAACCATAGTTAGCTTCATAGGCTTGCTGGAACTTGGTCTCATCACAACCACTTCCACGGATTGGCTAGCCCTATTCCACACCATTCTACAAAACTGAAATCATGATGTAAAGATCAAATCAATAGATAGAATTCTAAAAATCACATGCAAAGAATAATAACTATAAAAGATTTCTCCACCCCTTGTATAGAGATTTTTCCAACTATTTAATAGCACTTAAGTATTAAGGCGCTATAGGAAACCAAAACCTTTTAACCACTTGGATTAAAGTTTCGCTGCACTCATCAGGCATCTCGATAGATGACAAGGGCATTTTGCCCTTTGATAAAGAACAGATCCAAAGAATTACACACTCTAGTGTCTTTTATTGTTATATTGCTATTCTAAATATATGGTATATATATAAGAGTAATTGTGGGATTTATTCAATATATGGACTTCTTCCAAAAAAATAATCATGGAATTTGAGTTATGAATAAGTATATTATGGAAGTTTGAATATTGTTAAAGTTTATGTAAAAAGATTATTTAAGAATACTCTCCGAGAGTTTGATAAAATAAATGCAATAGTTTGAAAATGAGAGTGTGTGTGTGTTATTTGATCTAAAATGTTGTCAAACATAGGGATTAAAGAGTATTTGGCTAGACTTCTAGGAGTATGTTGTGGGAATTAAGTAACACATGGGGCTGTTATGGCCAGCCTTGTAAGGCTGTAAAATGGGCTGTGTAAATATAGCTGCCATGACAGCCCACGTCCATAAAAATATGGGGTTGTTAGCCCCATGCATGTAAATGTGGGTTTCTTACGAGAATGCCTACACGACGATAATAAAGTCCTACATGAGATAGCATAAATAAATGCGATTAAATACCTCTAACGAACATCTGACAACTTCTCCATCACATTCCACTATAATGTCTTTGGAGACTATTCCAGCATGTGCTGCAGGAGACCCTTTCATTACCTAACGAAAAAACAAAATTAAAAAGGTTGATAAAACAAGCAATCACAAACTGAAGCATATATCTATCATTCAAAACCAGTTACCACGTATTACACATCACCTAAAACTGCAATCGTTACTCATTGATAATACTTAAATACAGTTATGATGAGCTAAGGCCACAAGGGGCGCTTAAGATACTCACCAACAACCTAGTTTAAGATTTAGTGTGTTTTTATTAATCTTGAGAGATGTAATTTAATTAGTTAGGTACTGGGTTTAATATGTCCTTTAAATCAAACTATCAATATTTATGTATCCACAAGGTGCGCTTAAGACACTCACCAACAAGCTACTCAAGATATCAATATGTCCTTTAAACCAAACTCTCCATGAAACACTAACCAATACAAGCGCAAGTTACCACGCAACTAGAGCCAGTAGATTGGCAACCTATGAGAACCCCAAATTATATTGTTTAGAAGCTGTTGCAGAAATATTTCTCAAAACAGCTATTATTTGCTTCATCAGCATCATAGAAATGAAGGGACATTGGGGAACAAAAGAATGCATACCTCCTAAGTGACTAAGCAACACATGAACATCTTTCATGGCATTCAGACCACAAATGAAGCAACTAAAGAGCATTTGGAAGAAAAAAGAGAGGGAAAAAAGATGCAAGATGATACGTCTTTAACTATAATTCCATTGCTGATATGAGGGAACTTTTGGATTATTTCCTCCAAAACAGATGCCTTGGCAGCGTAAGAATTGGTCAGGGTCATCCCCAACCAAGGATGACAGACTCCCCTGTGCAGCAATAGAAAAGTATTAGATACACCTCGCCAATCTAAATAGTTGCAAAACCATGCTTACACCCAATTGCATGTAGAATGAAATTGATAGAGGACATGTTAGGGATTTTCATTACTTAATTTTCTATTATGAAGGAAAGACATTGATAACTAGTTTTATTATTTAATTTTATTTATTTTTAAAATCTAGGGTTTCTTCGGTGCATCTGTATAATTTATTTTTGCCCCCTTTTCTCTTCTTCTTCTCCATCTCTACCCATAACTCCTCTCTTCTATTACCATTTCCCTTCTCCTTTCTGTTCTACATCCGAAATAAATAGCAAATAAAAATAAAGGAACACTTAAAATTAAAGAAACCTGAACCACCTTTACGAGCTCGATGTTTTACAAACCCAAGTCAGAGTATCATGGACAATCTATAAACTGTCATGTACTCAAAACAATCATGTGAACCATACCTGTCTCTCTTTAAAAGCTGCATGCATCTAGAAGCTATGTTGATGGGCAAAAAAGCAGCATAGCCATCATAATGAAAAACAATCCCAATGACCTCTCCATCACAATTTATAAGAGGCCCACCAATATAAACCTAGCATAAAAGCAGCATTAGTGTCAAGGATTCTTGCATAACAAATACAGCTTGCAAAATAAATTAATATACTAATTTTACAGCACACGCGCACACAAAAAAGAAGAAGAAGAAGAAGAAGTGATTTTACAGCACACGCGCACACAAAAAAAAAAGAAGAAGAAGAAGAAGAAAAGAGGGTTTTAAGACATAATCCAACATAATTATCCTACTGGCACGGAAAATACTTCCACTCACCCTCAAATCTCTACCCCTCACTTCTTTTACTTGTAAGAAGTAACAAGCCACCGATTATAGCTTTTGTCTTCTTTTTTATGGTAGTGAAGTTCTTTCTTATAGAGAAGATTTTGGAAAATCCTTTTATGTTGAGATCAATGATTTTGTTTAGAGTCTCTTGTTTATTGGAATAGGCAATTCACACCGAACCAATAAAGTGTGTGAGCTTCTTGTTTTTCTGGTGGGATTATCACAACTAGTATAAAAGCCAAGTTTTTAATTTTTACGAGTAGAAGTGTGTGAGCTTCTTGTTTTTTGGTGGGATTAGCACAACTAGTATAAAAGCCATGTTTATTGTATATTGCACGCAGCATGGGGCATCAAGATCTTCAGTTGAGGAATTGATTCAAGAAAAGGGCAGCGCAATGATAAATTTGTGAGTTTTGACACTTTGAAGGCATGCTTAGGGAAAGTGATAAATGTCAGAAGGTTGTGTTTATGCCTTGACATTTACTTCAACCAAAACACTAGGAGAAGTTTAACAAAATGACAAAAACTCCCTGAGAAAAAAGGAAATTTGTATTCGAAATCTCACTTCATTGCACCCGTTTCCTCCAATAGTGTTTGCGTGCAATTATTCATGCCTCTCAATTATGCATCAAACCCATATCTGATTTAAAACTTGGGCCAAGTGTTTAATCTACCAAAAGTAAATCCTCGCCCCGCAATGCGCGCGGGCAAAGGCTATTACCTTGTCACCGCCACGGAGCTTAAACAAACTTGAATCTACCGTATGAGGACGAAGGCCAAATGGTTTTGAATCAGTGAGCAGAGGTGTAGGAGTTAGAGGCATCGAAACATCTATGTCTGTGAGAATTGCTGTAGGAAGAGGATAGTCGGTTGTGATTTGAATGATGGCAAGGTTGTAGTGGAAATCATACCCAAGAACTTGTCCCTTCAATGGCTTGCCCTTTGATAAATAAACCTCAACCTGAATGAATTGTATACTAATAAATTTATATGAATTGATGCCTTCTGAAAAAAGATAGTCCAGGCCAGCCCCGGTATACTAAATTAACAAAAAATTAAATTAGCTGGTGAAGATAGGAATTACGGTGATGTCAGGGGCCAAAAAAGTATATCTAGAATAAGCAGGAAATCTGAGAAGGTTAGCAGAAGTGAGGATGGTAGCAACAAATTCACCGCCGCCACCCCCACCACCAATCTCTTGTTTGCGCTCACATTCTACGACCGTCCCCGAGCATCTACACAAATTCTTACCACCTGAATTAATTAATTAATTTTGTTAATTATTGTTATCAATCACAAACAAAAACAAAAACAACTCCTCTGTAGTAGTTAAATATTTGTAAGAGCATTCATTAGATTATCATTCATTCATTGATACCTGTGCGGGACAAGAGGCACACAACAGACAGAGAAACCTTGAGAGCAGCTATTTTGGAATCAATATCCAAATCTTTATTCACGCTCCGTACATCAAACATCATCTCCTCCTCCTCATCCTCTGTATCCCTCGCCGCACGTTGTACTGTTTTATTAAAAAAACAAAATAAAAATTATATTCAACACCATTACCGACCGAATCTAAATCTATAACTAGCAATTAGGAAGATTTCAGTCAATACCATTACCAACTCGTTGCCGCTTAGAAGAGGTAGCAGACTCCATCGTTACTTTTCAGTATTTCCCTTGACGCGGGGGATCCTCTATTTTATATATATATATATATAATATAATTTGCTAGGATAGTTCCGGCGCTGTATGAGTCTTGGGAAATATATTGCTATTAAAATTAATTAATTAGGTCAAACTTAAAAATTTTGTGCTTTTTTAAATTAAATTTTATTTAATAATATTTATAAAAAAAAAACCTTGCAAAACCGAGGATTAAACGGAGTCTTATAAACTGCAAGCAACATTTCATGAACAACAATTCATTAAAGGTAAATTTTTTATTAAAAAAACATTTAGACAAAGTAAAAATATTTTATATATAATTAAGGAAAAATATATTAAAAATCTTTAAGAACATAAATTTTATGTTTATGGCCCAGTTAAGAAGCCCTGCCCGCGTGGCTAAACTAAGCACATGTAGAGCCTCAAGGACATCTTTGTCTTTCAAGAATTCTGTCAGATATATATATATATATTTGACAATTTTGCAATTGTTTTTTACCCCTCTATATTTGATATTTAAAATTATAATTTACATGCAAGATATTTTTTAATAATAAATAAACTATTTTTTTTTAATTTTATTATTTAAAAATAACATAAAAAAATCTTTCTTGTATTGGATTTGATAACTAGTTTATTAAAGTTATCAATATTTGATTTACATCTAAAAATACCAAAATTTTATTTTATTTATTTTAATATTTGAAATTTTAAACTTATACGTGTGATGTATTTCAAATATTAAATGAAATGACAATTTTTTTTATTATTTTATATATTTTGGGCTTTATAATAATTAAGAGATATGTTTTTCTTCTACATAATCAATCATGTAATCTAGATTATATGACTAATTAAGGTTTTTAGTGATCGAAATACAAGACAATAATACTAATTCCAATCTTGATGATACCAATCTGGGAGGATATTTGTCACAATGCCATAAACATACAACAATATTATTATTTATTAATATTGGTGTTCGGGCCAATTTGCACGCACTTCGATTAATTCTATGGTCCCTAAAGTTAACGACTATGTAAGTCTTTAGTAGTTATCATATTAGCAACCACATAACTCGAATTTAAAACCATAAAGAAAGCAAATCTCTTAATTTCAAGTTTTTACCATTAAATCACCTATTAAATGTACATACAATAATATTATTACTTTAATTATTGTTGTTTTATTTATAAGGAATAAACATGTTTGTCATGATTTTATTATTATTATTATTATTGTATTGTGAATACCCTTGATGCATGAACACATTGAAATTGTATTTGGGTGGGAAGTATATTAAAGGCTAATTAGAGATGAAAAGGGGTTGGATTAGGCTTTGCTTTACAAGTTTCGGCTTGGC